TACATATTACTGACCCCTGCATGCTGTGCAGTACACACTCCTGACCCCTGAACTCTGTGTATTACACACTCCTGACCCCTGCACTCTGTAAATTAAACACTCCTGCACTCTGTCCATTACACACTCGTGGCCCCTGCTCTCTGTCCATTACACACTCCTGACCCCTGCACTCTTGTGTATTACACACTCCTGAGCCCCGCACTCTGTGAATTACAAACCCCTGATCCATGCACTCCATGTTTTACACACTCCTGACTCCTACACTCTGTGCATTACACACCCCTGACACATGCATTGCATGCATTTCACACTCCTGACTCCTGCACTCTGTATAATATATACTCCTGGCCCCTGCACTCCATGCAGTACACTGCGTCTTAAGCTCTCCTGACTCTTGCTTTATGTGTATTACATACTTCTGACCCCTACAATCTCTATGGTACACACTCCTGATCCCTGCACTAAGTACATTACATACTCCTGACCCCTGCACTGTTTATGCTATATTGCACATTACGTACCTGTCTCCAATGCATTTATTGTCTCAATAGTTGCTGGTTGCTAAGTAGTCATGACTATTTTAATGACTATTTTAAGGTTAGGCTCAGATAAAGTGCTAGCTCTCTGTCTATATTCTGTGTGCAGAAAAGCATCTATAATAGAAGAGTTTCATGTTTTTAATATTGATTGTGCTGATGGTTATACATGTCTGTAAGGCCCTTGCTTGTGGCGCAGTAAATAAAGCATAATTTGTGGGTACAATAACTGTGGCATATGTGTTCTGTGAATACAGTGAGGAGGCTAAGGTTTAATTTAACCATAGCCCTTTAGGTCTCTCTCTATATCATTATCCACCATTCAGCATGCACACTTCTCCTTTGAGTGCCCAAGGTTTTTCACAATCCAAGCAATGCCTCTGGCAGGCATCTTGTAAAGTGAAATGTGTACTTTTGTATTGGAACTGTTTTTGTATATTGTTACTAGGGCTGCAACAACTAATCGACATAATCGATTATAATCGATTTTGAAAATAATCGTTAGCTGCAGCTCTAATTGTTACTTATTATTACCTAAATTTGTACATAGGCCAACCAAATGTGCTAATTATGTACTCCTTGTACATCTTACTGGGCACTAAATGACGATGAATGATGAGTGAAAAAAGTTATATATCTGTGGCTTTTATTTCAACAGATTGCCACTAGAAGGAGAACCTGCACATCCACAAATCCATATACAGTATAAGCATGTAAATTATTAATGTCACATATAATGAATGCACCTTTCTTAAGTATCATGTAATTCCACCTCCCCTAGCCTCAGCTGGCTAGGTTTTGCCATGGAGATTAGCTTTACATATACTGTATATACAGACACACAACCCTGAATGAGTATATAGCATTAGTGCTACAATAACCCATAAAAACACATAAAACCCACATGAGCAATTAATAAGGACAACCTCCCATCGCTATGCCAATATTGTGGTATAATATATTGCACAGTGGAAATGCAAATGGTGGAAATGTAAGCAATGGAAGTAGATGTTCAGTGATTGACCCAGGGTAAGACCCAAGTCCAGCTAAATCACATATGAACAGTACAGAAGCAGACACAATATCTCCTAAAATGAGCGTAAAAACGTTCTCAAGTATATAAGCACAGTAAACTAAAAATAACACATCGAGACAGATATCAAAAAAAGTGTCCAATGCAAAGAAAAAACAATGATAAGAAAAAAAGTGATATTAAACTAGTGCCACTAGGTAAGGAAGGTGTAAGCCAAGTACATGTGAGGGATAGTGTGAGTGTGTGTGAAATAAAACTGACCGTTTATATGCTTCATGATATTTACAGGTTCAAATCTTTTTACGGATCATTTGTATATAAATACAAATAATACCACTGCCATGACAAAAATAAAAACAGATCATCTTTTCCACGTGGAGGCTAGTCATGGAGAGCAAGCTACTGATTGGATTTCAATCTAATTACTTTTTTTTCTTAAGAGATGCACTGATTACTTTCCTGGGCTCATACTGTTGTGACCAGAGCATTCATGTCAATAAAAGTCTTCCCGTAAGATTATATGTGTATTTAACACATTTTATGTATGTTATATACATGTAGAAGCCCCCTAGTGTAGACAAGCAAAAGCTCTGAGAATGCTGCTGGGTGCCGCCATCTTGGATGCGATATCAGCAGCCCCAGTAGACTCAGAGGGGAATTTATCAAATCTGGAGCAGACAGAATAGAGGGTGTCACTGGAGTGAGACACTATGTGGGGAATTTATCAAAACTGGAGCAGAGGAATCTTGAGCAGTTGCCCATGGCAACCAATCAGCATCCACCTTTCATTTTCAAACCTTAACCGAACAAACTGAAGAGAAAAGCTGATTGGTTGCCAAAGGCAACTGCTCAAGATTCCTCTGCTCCAGTTTTGATAAATTCCCCACATAGTGTCTTACTCCAGTGACACCCTCTAGCATTCCCCTTCACTCCTCCCCTAGAAGCTACATAAAAGATTTTGGAGGAAGGTGAAGGAGCTGGGCCAGCACATAGGATGACATACAAGGAGGGAGGAGGCTGTACTAGGAAAATAGACTAGTCAAATGTTCTAGCAAGTTCAGAGGCACATTGCAAGTGAATAAATAAATCATTTATGGAAAGGAAAAACACTGCAAGTAATCATGTAAATGATGTCTCTGTGATATGGCCACCGCTCGTTCAACGTGTGACGTCACTGTCATGTGATGTCATACGCTCTCCTTGCAAGATGGTGGCGGGCATGCGCAGAACACGCCAGCGGCCACAATGGCCGCTGCGCATTCTGAAAACGAATTCATATATACACAGTTTACACAGAAAGTCAAAGACTGCTGGGGGAGAAAGGAAGAATTGTTTTGGCTTAGGAGACTTTGCAAAAATCCCCACCTCCCAGCAATTTGTTATTTTACAGATGTTACTTCCGCTTTATCACTTGTCTCCGGGAACAGAGGACCCCATTGGGAGGCAGGGAGAGAAATCTTACAGAAGTTCTAACCTCTCCACACTCCACCTAAAAGTCATGGCTGAAAATACAGTAAACTCTCTGTTATCCGGTATTCATCTAACCAGAGAGCAAAATCCCCTGTGTACTCACTGTTCTGCTGATCTGCGACATGTATTACCCTGGAAATGACCGTGTGACTATTTGTTTTAATTGTGTCTGTTTCTCTTAATTTGCTTTTGATTACTGCATTTCAGTATTAATATGAAGTCAATACAGAGCTTATGTTATGATATGGTAAAGTATGGGGTATGGTATGGTACGGGGTATGGTATAATACGGGGTATGGTATAGTACGCGGTATGGTACGGGGTATGGTATAGTACGGGGTATGGTATAGTACGGGGTATGGTATAGTACGGGGTATGGTATAGTATGGGGTATGGTATAGTACGGGGTATGGTATAGTACGGGGTATGATATAGTACGGGGTATGGTATAGTACGGGATATGGTATAATACAGGGTATGGTATAGTACGGGGTATGGTATAGTACGGGGTATGGTATAATACGGGGTATGGTATAGTACGGGGTATGGTATAGTACGGGGTATGGTATAATACGGGGTATGGTATAATACGGAGTATGGTAGGGTACGGGGTATGGCATAGTACGGGGTATGGCATAGTACGGGGTAAGGTATAATACGGGGTATGGTATAGTACGGAGTATGGTAGGGTACGGGGTAAGGTACGGGGTATGGCATAGTACGGGGTATGATATAGTACGGGTATGGTATAGTACGGGGTATGGTATAGTACGGGGTATGGTATAGTACGGGGTATGGTATAGTACGGGGTGGGGTATAGTACGGGGTATGGTATAGTACGGGGTATGGTATAGTACGGGGTATGGTATAGTACGGGGTATGGTATAGTACGGGGTATGGTATAGTACGGGGTATGGTATAGTACGGGGTATGGTATAGTACGGGGTATGGTATAGTACGGGGTATGGTATAATACGGGGTATGGTATAGTACGGGGTATGGTATAGTACGGGGTATGGTATAGTACGGGGTATGGTATAGTACGGGGTATGGTATAGTACGGGGTATGGTATAGTACGGGGTATGGTATAGTACGGGGTATGGTATAATACGGGGTATGGTATAGTACGGGGTATGGTGTAATACGTGGTATGGTATAGTACGGGGTATGGTATAATACGGGGTATGGTATAGTACGGGGTATGGCATAGTACGGGGTATGGTATAGTATGGGGTATTGTATGGTATAATATGGGGTATGGTATAATACGGGGTATGGCATAGTACGGGGTATGGCATAGTACGGGGTATGGTATAGTATGGGGTATTGTATGGTATAATATGGGGTATGGTATAATACGGGGTATGGCATAGTACGGGGTATGGCATAGTATGGGGTATGGCATCAGTTAGACCTATTTTTAATAGTAACTCTCAAGCAACCAGAAACTACATTTATCCGGCATCTACCAACCCCCGTGGATGCCGGATAACGGGGAGTTTTAGTACCATATAGCCTACATCCTGCAATTTCCATCTACACCAAAGCTGAACTCCAGGCAGATAGAAAAACACTTTTTAATGAGGTTTATATGAAATAAAACACTAAACACATTTGTAATTGCAGCTGATATATTTGAATTTGTCTCATTATCAGCCTCCTCCAAATCTGGAAGAGGGAAGGGGCCCCCCTCTCTAAACCAATCAGACTCTACTATCTACCCATGTGCTTACACATCAGAATGAGATGGCCTGCTGCTTCTCCTTCACTGTCCGATCAAAGGCTGGGGGCGGGGATGTGACCAAGCTGACCTGCCTAACTGCACTACAGCAAGGCTGTGTGAACCTCAGGTCTGGCTGGACACAATGACAGCTCTTGTACGTGTGTTTCAATGCTTGCCTGCAGTTCAGCTTTGATGGAAGTCATTAAAAACATAAATAGACAAAACTCATGAACTGACCTTGTGTTGCTTCCACATAATCCCAAGTGCTTTCATCTCATGCTTGGCATGCTTTCCCTCCTGCTGACACTGGAAGCACACAGGTGTCCTACAATTTAGACAATACATGCTATAGTTCTCCAGCTCATGATCAGTGCAGGTTGGAAATTTTCGGGCCGTGTTAGGATGCGCTACAGCTGTGCAGGCCAGTTTCTGTCTGCTGGCGCTGGAAGGCACTAGCTGAGCCGGTGACACCAGCCTGTGCTTGGCGAAAGGTCCTCTGATAGGGTGACACTTTTTCTGGCAGGAAGAACAGTACAGGACATCGCACTGCTCACACATAACCGCGGCCTCGGCTGGGTTCGTGTCGCACAGTTGACACCTGGCATTGCTAAGTCCTCCAGCTGCCTCTGGCGTGCCGCTGCCCTCTGCGTCAGCCTGCGCTGCCCCGCGCTCTTGCTGGTACCTCTGCACTATGGTCTCCAGCAGCCGATTGCGCTGAAAGCCCCGCAGTCCCCTCTCGTCCAGTGATGCGCTGCGATGGCACTGCGGACAGGTGATGGAGGAAGAACTGCACACGTTGCCGTGCAGCCCTCGGGAGGATGCTCCGGCGGAAGCACCCAAGCTCGGGGCAGGAGCGGGTGGCAGCACCCTGACCCCATTGGGTGACTTAAGGCTGGGGGTATAGGAGCCGTAGCCGCTGTCCGTCTCGCTGTGCAGGCTCATTTTATCCAGGTGATCCGGGTAATCATAATCGGCCCCCATCAGCAACATGGGCCGGGCGGCATGAGGTAGGTGCTCGCTCTCCGGGGTCTGGACCACGATGGTGCGGGCACAGGGCAGGCACACGTTGTGGGAGCAGGGCAGGATCAGCGGCTCCCGGAAAAACGAGCCACACACCGGGCACTTCAGCTCTTCCTCCATTGCTGGCGTGCGATCTTCTTCTACAGCCTCTCCTTTACATACACTGATGTCATGAGAGGAGACAGGGGCAGACCCAGTGCGATCCACTACAATACAAGCCAGCACAGAGGACGACGGATCGCTCGGAAATCAAGGGAGGGAACACCGACTACACACAGCATAGCAAACAATAAGCAATTAGGTGTCAGAGGAGACGAGCAGAGTGTGGGAGGAAACAAAGAGGAGAGGTGCGAGGGATGGCAGGCAGAGAAGCGCCTTCCTGTGCCAGTGCGGAGAGCCTTCTTCTTCTCTACACGCCTCCTCCACAGCAATGCACACACAGAATGGACGCCGCTGCCTTCAGCACCCGCCGACACCGAATGGACACTGCTGCCTTCACATCATTGGCCAATACAAACTACCTTCAGCTCCACACACCAGCAGACAGATCATTGGCAAATACAAACTACGTTCAGCTCCACACACCAGCAGACAGATCATTGGCCAATACAAACTACGTTCAGCTCCACACACCAGCCGACAGATCATTGGCCAATACAAACTACGTTCAGCTCCACACACCAGCTGACACATCATTGGCCAACGCGGAATGGATATTGCTACGTTCAGCACCACAGAGCAGCCCACAAATCATTGGCCAATACAAACTAGATATACTGCTGGATTCAGCACCACAGACCTTCAGAGAGCGCCTTGGCCGAGCCAGGATGGACATTGCTATATTCAGCAACACACATCAGCCAACAGACCATTGGCCAGCACAGAATGGACACTGCTAGGTTCAGCGCCACACACCAGCGGGCAGCTCCATGGCCAACACAGAATGGATACTGCTAGGTTCAGCACCACACACCAGCGGACAGCTCCATGGCCAACACAGAATGGATACTGCTAAGTTCAGCACCACACACCAGCGGACAGCTCATTGGCCAACACAGAATGGACACTGCCAAACTCAGCACCACACACCAACGGCCAGCTCCTCGGCCAGCACACAATGGACACTGGTAGAATCAGCACCACACACCAGCGGACAGCTGCATGACCAACACAGAATGGATACTGCTAAGTTCAGCACCACACACCAACGGCCAGCTCCCTGGTCAGCACACAATGGACACTGGTAGGTTCACCACCACACACCAACGGCCAGCACACAATGGACACTGCTAGGTTCACCACCACACACCAACGGCCAGCTCCCTGGTCAGCACACAATGGACACTGGTAGGTTCACCACCACACACCAACGGCCAGCTCCCTGGCCAGCACACAATGGACACTGGTAGAATCAGCACCACACACCAGCGGACAGCTCCTTGGACAAGGCAGAATGGACGCTGCTAGAATCAGCACCACACACTAGTGGACAGCTCCTTGGCCATCATAGAATAGACTACACTGCCAGGTTCACCACCACACACCAGCGAACAGCTCCCTAGCCAGCACAGAATAGACCACGCTGCCGGATTGAGCACCGCACACCAGCGGACAGCTCCTTGGCCCAGCCGACAAGTTGATTCCCCGTCCTTCCTTCTCTGTGTTCTCTCACCACATACCCTGATAAAACCATCCAGCCGAGCAATGATAAGTACAGCTGTTTTGATTTGCCTGGCAGGACAGATGAGAGAAGGAAAGGAGGAGAGAGAGGAGGAGGGATCTTGCCGGGGGAATAAAAATAAAGAAGAGGGAGGGAGTATAAAGGGAGAATAAAATGCTGTTGGCAAATAAGTGTGAGGCTTACTACAAATAGCCCTGGTCTGAAGATTAGGCAAGACATGGGATCGAACTTGAGTTCATTACTCGTGATTATTGCAAGGGTTTAGGTCTGTGGATTCCATTCATGAGGCATCATTTTACCTACTCCATGTAATAGTATTTATCATACATAGGACTGTGAAGTCAGTTCCTTGCAGATCCACATAGCAAAGGTTTAAATCCGTGGACTCTATTCATGAGGCATAATTTTGCTTACTCCATGTAATAGTATTTATCATACATAGGACTGTGAAGTCAGTTCATTACTTATCCACATAGAAAGGATTTAAATCTGTGGCTTCCATTCATGAGGCATAATTTTGCTTACTCCATGTAATAGTATTTATTATACATAGGACTGTGAAGTCAGTTCCTTACTGATCCACATAGCAAAGGTTTAAATCTGTGAATTATATTTATCAGGCATCATTATACTTGCCACATGTCATAGTATTTTCCGTACACAGGATTGTCATGCCAAATTCAGTACTGATCTACATAGCACGGTTTTAATCCTGTGAAACCTATTCATCAGGCATTATTTTCCTCATCCCATATACAGGTGAAACTCGAATAATTAGAATATCATGCAAAGTTCATTTATTTCACTAATGCAACTTAAAAGGTGAAACTAATATATGAGATAGACTCATTACATGCAAAGCAAGATAATTCAAGCCGTGATTTGTCATAATTGTGATGATTATGGCTTACAGCTCATGAAAACCCCAAGAACCCCAAATCCACAACCTCAAAAAAGTAGATTATTACATGCAACCAATAAAACAAGGATTGTATATAGAACAATATCGGACCTCTGAAAAGTACAAGCATGCATATGTACTCAGTACTTGGTTTGGGCCCCTTTTGCAGCACTTATTGCAATTACTTTTGCACGATATTCTAATTATTCGAGTTTCACCTGTAATAGTACTATTCATACATAGGATGGTTGTGTCAGTCTTAGAGTATGCATCCACTGATAAAATATACCAAAACTGCCATGAACACTTAGTCTTAAAATTAAAAATCGATTATGTATATATATATATAT